TGTGTTACAGGATAGGTGACTTTCTGCTACACTGGTTTTTCTCTACCAAAACAACAGGTATTTCTGCTGTTCCCTTTCTGGACCATGTTCTCCCTCCCCCCTCTGACTTCCCAGGAACTTTACTGATACCAGCACTCTGCTCTGTCATCACTGGGGGTGCTCCTGGCACCCCTGTCCCTGCCGTGGTTTATTGATTAATACAGCACACATCCGTTTTCAAGTGAATTTGTCTTTACGTGTTATCATTTAGCTTAACATTCAGCAGATATTAAGTACAAGAATTTGCCAATGTTTCAGAGATCCAAAATAATTTATCTGAGTTTAGTTAGCAAGTTCACATTTTCTTACACATCATCACACTATTGATTTCCTGCAGCCTGCCAGCACCACAAATGTCTGTTCTAAGGGATGCTCACCCCTGTGCTGCTGTCCAAATCACACTAATGACCCCAAAACGAGGGCCTCAAAAGCAAAAGCATTCCCTTCAGTGTGAAACCCTCACTCTCAGGGCTCAGCAGTCCCACCACTCCAGTTATGGATTGCAAATGAAGTGAACAGGGTTTTTTTAAGTTACTTGAAGGTGCAAATTTCTGCCCAAAGCTGGAATTGCACCATCCCTACCTGCTCCAGGGCTGACAGCACCCTGTAGGAATAACCTGCTCATCCCGGACACCACGTGTGCTCTGCACATGGATGCATTCCTCACAAGGCAGATAAACACAGAGGTGCATGCTCTGGTAAGAGCTGCACTGGCACTGCAGACTTCCAGGCACAAATCACACTTCCCGTGTAGCTGCTGGGGAAGCAGGACCCAAGAGCAGAGCTTCATCTGCATCACTGCTGCCAGCGAGGCACAGAAAGCAGAAGCTTGCCCGAGCAGAGCCGACTTTAGCAGATGCTGGGTACCTCCACCTCAGCACAGCAAACAAAAACGAGCTGCTGCTCAAGCGCGGCACAGGCAGGGAAATGGGATTTACGTCATTTGAACAGTCTGTCTTAGCAAAGAACATCTCTGGAGGGAGGGAGGGAGGGAGGGAGGGAGGGAAAAAAGCCCTGCTGGTCTGTACACTAATGCAATGTGTGGCTGTGTGCAGGGCAGCTCCCAACGCCGGCAGCGACAGGCCAAGTCACAAGCTCGGCTTATGTAGGGCACAAGGCAGCCTTCACATGTGACTGTCACCAGAGCAACAACTTCAGCTACTCCACTGCTCCCAGCACACCTCACCCAGACCCTGAGCATCTCCCAGACACTCTGGGGATGTCTTACAGCGTCAAACCGGGGCTGGCGTGCCCCAGAGAACAAAACCCGCCCTGCATTCATTTAAAAATAAATCAGCCGGGCCAGGTGCAAAATTCAGACGGAGCTGCAAACAACAGCCCCTTCAGACTGCTGTGTCTCAGCAAACAACTCTGCTCCCCCTCCTCCTCCTCTGCCTCTCACCAGCCACTTTCTCCGGGGAAGAGCAGCACAGTTTTTAACTTGATTAGGGTAAACACAAACATCCCTCCCTAAGCTGCAAGGGGCCAGCGTTGAATTCTCAGACACACAAAGCTTGTATCCTTGTACAGATGTGAGAAAATGCAGTATTTTTGGGTTTACACTCAAAAAGACAAGTGCATTATTGAATTACACCAAGGAGCTGAGCTCTAGAGACTCTTACAGCTTCTCAAACATTAAATGAAATGGATTCACTCAGAATTAGTCTTATGCAACTCAGAGTTAAACACCTTAATGAGTTAAACACCTATTGTTATCTTCCTCATGCTGATTCATCACATCTAACAAAGCCTCGTAATCAACTATTCTCAATTCCACCGGTGCATTTTAATGTTGATTTGCTCTCACCAAATCATTGTAAAAGTAGTGAGACTGCCCCCAAACCTTTTTTGGTCTGTCCTTGTAAGAAAAGGAGCACACCTGCACCTGCTCACCCAGCCCTCTGCTCCTCCCTCCCTTCTTCCATCAGCAACTGGCACAAAATAAACTTTTTTCCACTCTGAGATCTTCTGGAAGTGCCTAAACCAGACTATTTTTATATACTTATTATTGGTCTGAGTTTTTCTTCCAGAAGTCTATCTCAGGGCTCATTACCAGTTCTCCTCCTCACAAGCTACAGGATTTCTACAATTCTACAATTTTACAATTATACAATTCTACAGCTTTTCCAAATTATTTAAGCAGTCTTCACCAATGTATTCCTTCCTTTGTAAGAACTGAAAACTTTTAGGACTTGTGAGGATTTTGTTGTTTTGGTTGTTAGGTTTCTTTACTATCTTTTATTAAGTATAAGACCTAACTATAACCATATTATCTCGTGTAACTTTTCCATACTTCCATTTGTAAAAGTGAACCACATTTGGCAATAGGGAACTCCTATGAGGAAGCCACAGCCACCTCACACATGGAGCTGCTGCAGGACAGGAGTCTAAGCAGCTCAGAAAAATTGTTCAAGTCAAGGTGCAAGACAACTTCGAAAAGCCCTGGGTATTTGAGTAAGAGAAACCCGGTTTCCTTTAAAAAGGATTCCATTCTTTTTAGCTTTGAAGTACAGAAGTGTCAGGAAGAGCAGTGGTCACTGCCCATTTCAGCATCACTGGCACCTGACACTGAGCTTCAGCAAACAAGGGATCCTCATGTCCCACCCAAACATCCCCGAGGTGAATGGGACAACTGGGCCTGAGGAAACTGAGGCTGAGCTTCTGAAAGCAAAACTCCGGACCCCTGGAACCTGCAGGGTTCCAGCTGAGGGACCTGTGGGACTGGGAGAAGTCTTTAAAACAAACGTATTATTCCCTATTTTCCAAGCTGGAGACTTCCTCCATCTTTTCTATCCAGCCAGAGAATAAACTGATGCCATGAGTGGCTCCTGTCCCTGCTCCTGGACAGTGTGGGGGCTCAGCAGCCCCTGCCACAGCCCCTGTGCCAGGCCCACGGGAGGCACCCACCCAGCCAGGCTGGGCCACCTGCACAGATGAAGGGGCTCCCTCCCTCCCAAGGGAGCACAATTTTGGGGGAGGAGAGGGGATAACAGGACTGCTCACATGAAGGTGGCCCTGAAGCTGTGGCGCCCCAGGCAGGCACGTGGGCCAAAGGCCCGGCCAGATGCACAGGGTTGGCTCCCAGCTTCCCCACTAAGCCCCCAGGCTATGCCTCAAAGCAATACAACTCTGCCATAAATATCCCAGATTAATTCTGATCCCAGCATCAAATCCACTTAAGAGACTTAAAAGCCTCCGAGTCCTCAGAGCTGCCTGCCCAAGGAGGGCTCTGCAAATGAGTCCTGGGCTGCAGAGAAGAAATATTATCAAACAAGGCAAGCCATTTGTACAATTTTGGGTAATGTCATTTGCAAGAGACAAATGGGACAAGAAAGCTGAGTTGACATCTTGTACTATAAGCACAGCCACAAAAATCCTCGGGTACTGGACATGGATACACAGGATGGGATTAGCGTAAATATTCCATGTTTTCTGGAAACAGCTCTTTCTCTTTAAGGAATTGATTATTGATTGATTGATTGACTGATTGATTGATAAATGACACCTTGCTCTCCAGTTTATTAAAGGAGCTATTTACTTTCAGAGAGACATCTCTGTTTATAAAAAAGCCTAAAGTGATTACCCCAGCATCACAGGGAAAAAAACCTTGTTAACACTGACAGCAAGAAGGGCGCTGGGGAGGCAGAGCCCCTTCCCTTCCCTTCCCTTCCCTTCCCTTCCCTTCCCTCTCTCCTGGCCAGGGACAAGGTTTGGGAACAGGAGCAGGCAAAGGGGACTCCGAGTGACCAGCAACCCTTCTGAAGCCCCCACAGCAGCACTCTGAGAAAACGCTGCTTCGGAGCAGCAGCAGCAGCAGCACTTCCACCATGCCGGCGGGAGCTCCCGGGGAAGCTCCCGGGATATCCCTGCCCGACACCGCTCCCCGCACGGAGATGCGGCCGAGCCCCGGCAGCTCCCGACCGAGCCAGCGGTGCCTCCCGCAGCGGGACGGCCATCCCGGCCATCCCGCGGCAGAAGCACGGCCCGGGGCTCGCCCTCCCGCAGGCGATGCTGTATCCCGCATCCCGCATCCCGGGGGCAGGCGGCGGCCGGGAGCCGCCGAGTCTGTTTTTGTAAGCCTAAGGAATTCGAGCGCAGCGGATCACAAACAGCACATTGTGCTGTGTCAAGCAGCGAAGTGGGCTCGTAATCCCATGCATGCTTTTCCCACTCCACTCCGGGAAAGCCATGACTTAAATACTTTTCCAGAAGTAAAAACACGCCGGGAAAGCGCCGACCTCAGTTCTCGCTATTCCTGAATCCCCGCTGCTTCGGAACCGCGCAATTAAGCGGCTTTCCCAGCGCTGGGGAAACGCAGACGATTAATTACAGCTTAGAGAGGCTGGAATAGATGCGGCGGCCGGGAGCGAAGGCGGCCCGAACGGGGCGAGCTGGCGCTGGCCCGGGCCAGCCCGCCGGTGGCGAGCGGCCAATGTTTACTGACCCCAGGCCGGGTCACTTTCGATAGCGGCCGGAGCCAAGGGCCGCTCCTCGGGAGAGCCGCGGGGCATCTCCCGGGGGGCGAGCGGCTCCCCAGGCTGGGAACCCCCGGTCCCCACGGCACTCGGACCGGCAGGGAACACGCTACGGGGAGAAGGGCAGGGCTCGCCCCGCTGCTCCCAGCGCTCCGCTACCGCGGCTTTGCCCAGGGCATCCCCCGGCGGGGCCCGGGGCGGCGGTGGCCGCAGAGACAGCCGTGGGCAGGGCGGGCGGGGCAGCCGGGGAGCCCCGGCTGGGAACCCCCCGGGACCCCGGCCAGGGAGCGAGTGAGACACGGGCTGGGGGACAGAGGCTGGGGCCGCCCCTCCGGACCCCATCGCTGTCCCCCGGGGCACACCCCGCAGGGAGTCCCGCTGCTTCCAGCTTCGGGCAGCCGAAGGCAGGAGGGGAAAGGGAAGGGAAACCCCGCTAGGGAAACCCTCTCCGCGAAAAAGGGGCAAAGAAAGGCGGACAGCGCTTACTTCTCGTGCCTGGCGTTCTCCTGGATGGCGCTCAGCACCCCCGGGGGCGCGGGGAGGACGCCCTGCTGGAGCCGGCATGTGGCCAGGTGCCGGTGATGCTCGTCCTGCAGGCAGGCATTTTCGTGGTACAACTTGGCCACTTGCTGCTCCAGCTCGTCTATCCTCCGCTTCTGCTTCTCCAGCAGCTCCTGCTGCGTCTCGATAATCTTGTTCAGCTCCTTCAGGTACTCGGCCGCCTTGCTGGGGTTCTCGGCGGGGCTCTCCATGGCCGCCCCGCACCTCCGCGGCGCGGGGGGGGCAGGCGCCGGCCAGCGCGCTCCGCTGGCAACTTCAGCGAGAGGGGAGGAATAAATATCCCGGCGGAAAGCGGCGCCCCGCGGCCCCGCGCGTCCCTCCTAGAGCCGCGGCTGCCCGGGCGGGCGGCGGCCCCGCGCCGCCATTGCTGCCGCTCGGGCCCCGCCGCCCGGCGAGGGCAGGGCCGCCCGGAGAGGCCGGGGGAGCCGGAGCCGCCGCCGGAGCCGCCCGGGCCCCGCCGCGCTGGCGCACGGCGCTGTCTCCGCGCCCGTCCCGCCCTGCCCGCGCCGCAGCCGGGCTCGCCCGTCGCCTGGCAGCGCCCGCGCCCCCGCCGCGCTCGGAGCCGGGCATGGGCAGGGGCGCGGGCCGGGCCCGCCGCTCCCCGCCTCCCCCGCCGCGGCCGCCGCCGCCGGGATGCGCTTAAGTAACGGCGGCCGCTCCTCCGGGGGGCCGGCGGGGGCTCGGCGAGCGCCCCATCAGCGCACCCCGTCCCCGGCTCTGCATCCCCATCCCCACATCCCATCCCTGCATCCCGTCCCCACATCCCATCCCAGCATCGTATCCCTGCATCCCATCCCCGCATCCCATCCCTGCATCCCGTCCCCACATCCCATCCCAGCATCGTATCCCTGCATCCCATCCCCGCATCCCATCCCAGCACCCCGTGCCCGCGCCCCATCCCCGAGCGGCTCCGGCCCCGTTCCCCGCGGCGGGGAGAGCCCCGGGAGAGGTGCGGGAGCGCTCTCGGGAGCGGGGCCCCGGGCGGCGCGGGGAGCAGCGCGCTGTGCGCGGAGGCGGGCGGGGACCCGGCCTGCGGGACCACAGCTGTCCCTGCCACATCTGGGGAGCGGGGCTCCCGTCGCGGGGATGGCCTTGGGGTGGCCCCCCGAGCCAGGCGCCCTAGCAGCTCGCCCCAAGTCAGGTAGCAGAGCCCTCCGCCTCTCCCGTCAGCATCTCTGGCGTTAAAACCTCTGTTGGTGAAACGCTGCTTCCCGCTAAGGCTGCATCAAGCCAAGAAAAGTTGCTGAGATTTTGGGTCTTGTATCATCCCAAGCGTGTGTTGGGAATGCTTGTGAGAACCGGGAGTAGGAAAGGGAAACGGGGAGATACTGCAGGAAGAAGATAGGAAGCTGAAGACGTGCTGCTCTCCTCCCTTCCTCTTTATGTCTCCCTTTTTTTTTTTTTTTTTCTAATTTTTCTACATCATCTCTCCACCTTTCCACTTTTGAAGTTTACAACTAATAAAATTTTCTTAGAGGGGTTGTTCTGCTATCACTGACGCCCCGACCCTGCGTGGTGGAGTCAACTCTTTCTCACCTTTGCCAGAATGCGCCTTTGCTTCAGTAGCGCGGCCGAGGCTGCGGGCTCTGCGTTGTGCCCATCTGTGCCCGGCAGCTCTGGGAACGGAGCTCCCAGGCACAGGCTGACTGTCGCAGCTTGTCCTCTCTGCCCCTCGCAGTCACCAGGGAGAAAAGGGGCGTGAGGGGAGGGTGCAGCCACAGCCAGACCCGTCTGGCAGTTTCCAGGGGCATCCTGGCTTTAGGCAGAAATAAGTTATTGGCAAAACTGTTACTTTTGCTCTGACACTAGTGCAGCGAAGAGCTGTTGTGACTGTCGAGGTGACTGAAGCATGAAAGACTAATTTCCAGTCCTAGTGGGGATCCTGACTTCACAGACACATCTTTAGCCGCTCTCTGAAGAGACCAAGCCTCCTTCCCCAGTAACTTGATTAGTATTTTGCATTAGAATTCTTGAAAATACTTTTTTCCCCGAATACTATTAGTTTAGAAAGTATTAGCTAAAGTGCAGTTTGCTCTGTGTGGAAAGAAATGCTTATCACGATATCTCACTGAGGCAACCTGCACAGTACCAGGCAGCCAGAGTATTTATCAGGGGTTAAATCAATAAATGAAGCAAGTGAACCTGCTTCTTATATGCAAAATAAAATGCAAAGTAAGACATTCAAAACTCATTAAAGTATGTGCAGACAATAAAACCTTATTAAGCATTTCACAGCAAGGAGAGCGAGAGTGGAGCAGCACAGCTCCTACAGCGAGGATCTGTTTGAAGCACCCATTTTTAGGCAGAAATCCCCGAGTTCACGGGACCCGTGAGCGATGCTGAGAGGGGCAGGAGCCGCCCTAAGGGTGAGTTTGTTTCTTGCTTTCTTTTGCCGCTTGCAGGGAAAAGCCTTCATTCCCACAGGGAGAGCTGTGCCTCGCTCAGCTCCCAGCGAGCTGGGTGAGCTGAGTAGGGACCGATGGCTCCTGTGGGAACCGATGGCTCCTGAAGGGACCGATGGCTCCTGCAGGGTCTGATGGCTCCTGTGGGAACCGATGGCTCCTGCACGGACTGGCTGCTCCAGGCTCTCCTGATTCGGGAGGGTTTTCTCAAAGGGTCCCAGTAACGAGATCACCAGCCTGACCTGCCTGGCTGATCGTGCTTTCCCAAAGCGCCCACAGAGCAAATAAACCTGCTGGGAACCCTCTCCACGGGAAACCATGAATTAGCCTGAGAAATACGTTGAACCCTCAGACATGCCCTGGGGTTGGCACCTGGAGCCTGCACCGTGCTCCTGGTGTGTTCTGGGTGTTGCTGCTGCTCAGCACTGAAAGAGGAAGGAGGACTCTGTGTCCCAGGGATCGTCTCTGCCCCTCCAAAAGCCTGCGTGCCCCACCAGGCTCCGTGAATGAACAAGGAGAGGTAAACTTCGAACATAAGCATATTCATAGAATCAATAATATATTCAATCTCTGTCTGTGAAGACACAGATTGTAAAAGCAGACCCAGCTTGTTCAGATTTGCTCAGTTAGAAAATTAAGTGACATCAAGCCTAACCTTTTAAAATATGAAAATCACCAAAATAGCATTCTTATTACTTGCTAACATCCTACCTCAGACTGTCCCTTTCCATAAGCTACGCAGCACATGGTTAATTCTTGCCTGGGAAAGTGCCAGGGAAGATTTAAATATGAAAGGGAATGTTGCTCATTCAGTAAGTAGGATTCTCTTACTCATTTATTATTGGCAAGAGATAAATCACAGAGAGGTTGGGACTGGAAGGGACCTCTGGAGGTCATCCAATCCAACTTCCCTGATCAAGTACCCCATTACACTTTGGAAAAACCTTCAAGTGTCTCGAGCTTTGGTGTTTTCTGGCAAATCAATACCCTGCAGAGGACCCTTTTTGAGTGTTCAGAGTCTGGTCCAGACTCAGTCACACCCCTGGTGCTCACAGGCTCATATGCTGTTTGATGCCCACCAGAGATCAGGCACAATCCTGCTCCCTGAGCCTGCCAGAGCTCAAGGAGGGTTTCAGGGACAAGGCTCTCAGGGATGCACAGGGTGGGATTGTTGGGATGTCTGTGCAGGGCCAGGGTTTGGCCTGGATGATCCCTGAGGGTCCCTTCCTGGTCTATGTTTGCCTGTCCTGTTCTGAGAGCCTGGCTCTTGCACTGGCTGCCTAACTTGGGTGGTTTGTCAGAGTTAAATTTATAGTTCTGTGCAGAGGCTGAGCATGAAATGTCGCTGTTTCAGAAACGGTTTCGTGTGGCTGATAATGCCATGGATGAGCAAACAGCTGAAATAATTTTTTTCAAAGGAAGATAAGACCAGGGAAAAGCCTGTGATACATATTTTTCTATGTAAAATTAATTAGGTCAGTGTAATATATAAAAACAAGGATCCAGAAGTCATGCAGTGATTTGTGCTCAATCTTCACTCTGCCTTCCATTCTCTTCGAAGCCGCTTCTTTCTTGGTTGCATTTCTTTCTTAGTTCCCCCCCAGCCCCCTTAAATCTCTGCCTCACTTCTTGGTTCTGCTGCTGTGTTTGGACACTAAGGAATTTTATCCTGCTATTCAAGTTTATCCTGTTGTTAGAATTTATATGTAGGTCACAGAACTCACAAATGGTTTGGGTTGGAGGAACCTCAAAGCCCATCCAGTGCCACCCCTGCCATAGCAGGGACACCTTCCACTGCCCCAGGCTGCTCCCAGACCCAATGTCCAACCTGGGCTTGGGCACTGCCAGGGATCCAGGGGCAGCCACAGCTGCTCTGGGCACCCTGTGCCAGGGCCTGCCCACCCTGCCAGGGAACAATTCCTTCCCAACATCTCACTCAATATCTCTCAGTTTTAGGTCCCAGCCCCTTTCACAGCCTGTACCCCACGTGTGTGTCCCCTCCTTGTGTCCTGAGGCAGGACAAGTGTTCTGCTCTCATTCTGTGTGCTCACCACACACCCAGCAGTGCCTGCTCCTCTCCAGTGGATCAGCTGGATCATACCAAAAAAACAACATTCTGGGGGGCTCATTTGCTGCACTCTTTCCTGGAGGAAAGAAGGAAGTAGGAATCCCACTGCTGACCAGGACCATGGCCCTCATAAGCCAGTAACGCCTGTGAGATGAGACCTGACTGAGGTATTAAATGAGAAAAAGGAGAAAGCACGGCCATAAAGACCTGAAATCTTTTAGGACCTGTGATATTTCTGGCTTTTTCCCTCTCCTGGTTAAACATAACCCACTTTTAAGACCTGACATCTTACTTCTCTCAACAGTTTTTTTGATTTCTACTTAAAGGCATGAAACTTCCTCATGCCTTTTCCTACCACAAATCTTTTTCATGATAATCTCTTGTGAAATATGATCATATTACACTTTTCTTAGTTAAGTGGAGTGTATTTAGTCTTGATCTATGTACCTCGACCTCTCCTCTAAAAAGGGAGAATGAATACCTGACCCACTCTCAGGAGCCTCCTGGCTCGCCTCACCCCACAGTGCCTGTCTGGCTCTGATGGCACTTGGAGAATTAGGCTGTTCTTACCCTGACCAACTCCTTAAGTATTTGAACTATCCCAAGCTAAGCATGGAAAAATCACAGGCCATATTTTAAGGTATCTCCACAAGGCAGTAGAAAGTTCAATTTTAATTTTCTGAGTCTGATCCGGAGCGGACCGATCATTACTGTTTGTCGGAATTG